TCGGTGGCGACGACGAAGATGGTGACGTGGATGTCGTGGTGGGTGACGAGGCGTTTCCCGAGCTCCAGGACGGGGATGAGGTGGCCCATCCCGGGGCTCGCCAGAAGAGCGGCGTGAGGCCTGTTGCCGGCGGCTTGCATGTTTTCTATATTTGGAAGGTGAATTGGTGGGCAATATTGGAGGTGTGCTTTGTAACGGTTGATGATTGATTGGTAATTATAGCAGAGGGTGGTGTCGCACAATTGGTTAGTTGAGTTATTGTCACTTTTGCCCTTTTTTGGCAAGGAAGTGTCCATTAAAGAATAACAATTTATATTCATCATGTGCTGCACCTCTTTCTCTCAGCGCCTTAACCTCGTCCCGCCCTCGCAATTACCACCACGTAGCCAGAGGATGTCTTCCAAACCAGCTTAATTCGTCGATGACGAGCTCGTCCCATTCTCGCTCATCCCAAAATCCAGCAGTAAGATCTACTCAGGCTCTTGAAGATTAATGCTTGATGCTTCGCCGCCTCTTGCCATTGATTTGTCGTGAAAGAGAACATGATCGATGCTTCTTCCACTCATCATGCCATACGCAGCGGAAGAGCATGCAAGAATACCAAGAGAAGAAGAATAAGAAGAGAAGAGAGGAGGGATGAGGGTTGGTGGTTGGTTATTCGATATATCGAGTAACCACCGATTACTAATGGGGTATAAGTCAGTATATCGATAACTAGATTTTTATTATCGCATATCAATATTATGATAGAAACCTAATTTTTAGGTTTTATTATAATTATTATAATTACTATTTTTAGGATTTATTATTAGATAAGGTTAGTAGTCATTGAGTCGTATTAAGAAAGTCTATTAGGGTTTTCAGTCTTTCGCTATAAATATGTACTTTGGGGTTTACGTCATAATCAATAAAAAAGAATATTAAGAAAAGTCTTCCAAACCCTAATCAAAGCCATGATCGACGATCTGAGTTCGTCACAACTCTCAACCGGGGACGAACGGGTATATGAAGACATCCAACCCAAGATCATGAGGTTGGATCTACGCAATCGTGTTGTCATGTTCTTCACCTTGCCTGGATTTGAGGAGCAACACGTGGAAGTGCAAAGGATCAGATATGACGTGCTAGCAATAACAGGACAAAGGCCATTGGGTGATGGACACAGATGGATCTGATTCAAGAAACTTATTCGGTTTAGATCCATATGTAACCTTGCAGAATATAGCGCTGGTTTTGGGAAAATCGATTTCATCATCAAAATTCCAAAATCACAGCACCTTCCGTCCCCTACCACGACGGAGAAACGTCAACCTTCGAGTCACCACATACGGGTGCCACGCCTCCTGTCTCCGATGAGAAGTCCACCATCGAAGCACCATCCAAGATGAGTGGTCCGCGAGTCCGCTAGGAGTGGGTTGTAGAGGCCTGTTGAGGATGATGAGCAAGCTGAAGCTTGAAGTGGGGGAGTCCAAGCAAGTTCCAAAGCCTAGGCCAAAGTTGGAGAGAAATCAGGCCAAGCTGGAGTCATTAAATGGGCTGAAACTCAATGAAATTGGGCCGAGAATTAAGATGAGGTGGGTTGGGTCCTCCTAACGCCGAGAAAAGCAGCAGGGTGAGCCGATTTTTGGGCGGCGGCCAAGAAAGAAGTGGGCCAAGAGAGAGAGAGAGAGAGAGTGGTGGGCTGAAGCTTGAAGCAGAATGGGCCGACCAAGATTGTGGTCTCGGGCCCCAAATGGGATGGCAGTTGGGATTGTGTTTAAATGGGATGGATTTGCAGAAAAAGAGAAGTGGGTTTGTAGGAATAAAAGATGAGCTTTTAAGAGAGCTAGGCCCAAAATTAATTGGAGAAACAACTTGCCAGAGTAATGAGCTAGATTCAAGGAAGATGTTCGCAGGTCTTGATGAGTTGGTACTTGAAGATAAGTTTTTGTACAAGAACATAAATGAGAATCCCTTAAGCGGCGGGGGTATGATGCCAACGAAAAAGGAGTTGTTCGAATTTGTAAAGGAAGTGAGTGGGCCCATGAAAGTGAAATTCGAGGAGTTAAATCAGCACAAGGGGATCGATGCAAGAAGCCTAGTACTAAAGTTGGAGCAGGATTGGAAGAAAAGGAAGCGCAAGCGATGGAGAAGGCAAGGCGCGGGTTGCAGGGGCGATGTGAAGAAATGAGTCGAGTGGGTCAGCCTTGAGGGCAAGGTTGGTCTCAAGGGGGAGGGGATGATAGAAACCTAATTTTTAGGTTCTATCATAATTATTATAATTACTATTATTAGGATTTATTATTAGATAAGGTTAGTAGTCATTGAGTCGTATTAGGAAAGTCTATTAGGTTTTTCAGTCTTTCGCTATAAATATGTACTTTGGGGTTTACGTCAGAATCAATAAGAAGAATATTAAAAAAAGTCTTCCAAACTCTAATCTCCCTATCCTCTCAATTCTCAATTCTCAAACCCTCTAAAGGCCAGGCCGATTCTCTATCTTCTTCCCCAAATTCTCTTCTAAATCCCTAATTCCTATCAATTCCCCAATTTTCCAACCCAATCGATAGAACCCTAGAAATAGATTTCTATCATATTACCACCTTATAATGGTTTAACCTGTAACTGCGGGTTAAATTTTGAAAACCAGTTAAAATGTGAATCGACTAACCAATTATCAACCCTAATAAACAGTATTAATTACCAACTCGATAAAAAATTTCATGATATTGATATTGTGTGTTTATCTAATAAATGGTAAATCATTTTTCAATTTGACATACTCAAGCGTAGAGCTACAACACGGTTTGGGGGGTTTCGGCCCCTGAGAATTTTAGAAATCGTGTATAAATCACTTTATGTTACGAAATATTACTATAATGTATGGCAAATTAAAATAGAGTAGTGTGTCAACATGGACAGAGAATGGGAAACAATTCAATCGTGGGACAAAGATCATCCACATTAATGAAATACCATTTCTATTTCATATGTGGTCTCTACCGCCACATCAACAACTTTTCTCATTTCACTTCATATCAATTCCATTCCCTCCACATCAATGACATACACTTTCTATTTCATATGGTGGGTCCAATTGATTATTTTAATACAACTCTATATTTTTTCTAAAAAAAGAAAAAATAAAGAGATGAGACAAAACCGTGGAAAGGGGCCCACATCTACCCCACTTGCTATTCCATTCAGACTTCCATTAAGTGGAAGCTATCACTTTATGGAATAACCTCTACAACCATGAAATGGTAAATAAAAGTGCCATGTCATCAATGAAATGGCTGCAAGACAGCCGATGGAGCTGCTCTTAGTTCCTCTTACCAGATCTGCGAGTTCGAATCCTGATGCATTAAGTTTTTTTATGTCCTTATCTTAGTTTTATTCTACCTAAATGTTAATTAGGTATTTAATCTTCATGATATTTTTCTCTTAGATAATTTCGTACTTGCCTATGAGATGGTTAAAAAATATAATAGGAATGTTGTATCTTCTAGATGTGCAATGAAAATAGATATCATGAAGACATTTGATAGTGTGAATTGGGATTACTTGACTGATGTGATGACTCTGTTGGGTTCCATATACAGTTTGTGACTTGGATTAGAAAATGTCTTGCTAATGCCTTGTTTACTATCTGTTTCAATGGGGAGTTAGTTGGAAACTTGCAAGCAAAAAAGGCCTTCGTCAGGGCGAACCCATCTCTCCCTACCTCTTTGCCATGGCCATGGAAGCTTTGTCTTGCATGTTAAAAAAAGATGTTGAAAGGAAAGTGCTTCCTTATCATTCACAGTGTGCTAGGATAGGTCTCACTCACTTTGAGTTTTGCTGACGACCTATTAATATTCACTAATGGGGCAGAGGAGGGTGTGAGGGTAATAGCTGAGATTCTGGAACACTTTTACAGGTTATCTGGATTGAGATGTAACCCTAGCAAAAGTGAGTTATTTTGGGCTGGAATTAGTTTTGATGCTAAGGAGGCAATTGTGAGATTTTATGGGTTTAAAGAAGGGTCATTGCCAGTCAGATATATCTTCGAGTGCCTCTTGTAGCAGGTAAGTTGGGTGTGGCAGATTGTCAACAACTAGTAGATAGAATAACAAAACGTGTTAAGGATTGACGGTCTAAGTTGTTGTCTTATACTGGTAAAATTCAGCTAATCAAAGCTGTGCTAGCTAGTGTAACTCAGTATTAGTTGAATGTCTTTCAGTTGCCCAAGAAGGTTATCAGAGGGATAGGGAAGGTGTGTTCTGAATTTCTATGGAGCAATGGTTCTGACAATAAGAAGGCAAAGGTAACCTGGTCTTTGGTTGCTCTGCCAAAGAAGGAGGGTGGTCTAAATTTCAAAGACTTGTAAGAAATACCAAAATGATCTGAAGAAGAATGTAGCCATTGGGAAGTAACCTGAAGAAGAATCCCAAAATGACCTGATACACCTGGGGGAAGGTCTGAGCTGTACTTGTAAGAAATACATCCAACCATTTGTCATTAATCAGAAACTTATCAAGACGTTTGGCTTTTGGATTAGCTTGCTTCTTATTCTACCAAGTAAACCAAGAGCCAGAGACTTTATGGTCACTCAACTATAGATTCTCAATCCATTCTCTGAATTTGATCATACTCTAAGAGATAATAATTGGGTTGAAGATTTCTTCACATCATTTACTGCATTGAAACTCCAAGAATGGCCTAGGGGAAATGGGTGATCTTATAGATACGGTAGACCTTAACTCTATCCTAGTTTGGCCCGAAGTTTGGCGTAAGTGTCATTTTTGGCCCGAAATTTTCAATAAGACATTTATGGCCAATTTTTCAAATTAATGGACAAATTTGACCTGCTATTTGAATTGACCGTCAAAACTGACGGTTAACTATTTTTTCCATCAGTGAGTCAGCACAGGCTTATCCATGTCACATTTTTTTCTTAAATTAAATAAAATTTGAATTCTAATAAAAATAAAAATAAAAATAAAAAGATAGAAGGGAGGGGTCACGAGGACCACTGTCTCCTCCCCTTCCCCATTGTTCACGCCTCCATCCATTCCCGACCCAGCGAGTCCGGCGATTCTTCCGCCGGCCGCCGGCCGCCTGCCGTCCGTACTGCCTCCACCACCCGTCTTCTTCGCCAACCTCACCGCCCGTCATCTCCGCCAGCCCTCGCCTCGCCGCCCTTGCCAGATAATCAACCTTTGGTTTTCGATTCATCAGCAGCTAGAGCAGAACCAGAACCGGTGAGTTCGGTCTCCCTTAAATCAGCATTGGGTTTTCGATTTTTGATTCCCCCGGAGAAGAAAAGGCGACGTGAACTGGAAGGGAATATTCAGTTACAAAAGTGATAAAATTGAAGAAAAGGCAGGGGAGAGGTGGCTTCCTTCTAGATCGAAGTCCATATCTAAAACGAAAGGTCGAGCTCGGTGGCGGCGCAAACTCTCGGTAGGCGAATCAGATGGGAAAGCTGCGGCGGCGGAGTCTATGCTCGTGGAATCGATTAGTGAATTGGAGAAAATGGGCGATTTTGATTTGGAGTTCAAGGAGGGTTTTTTGGCCATAGTGGGGTGATGCCATGAAGGGTTTTTGGGATCGGTGGAGGAAGCTAGAACAGGTTGAGCAGGGAAGAAGAAGAGGCATTTGCCGGCGACGGTTCGAAGAACGGAGGACGATTGGAGGGCAGACGATTCCACTCGAGGCAGAGGGATTTCGAGATCCATTACCCACCGCCCGCCGCCGCCGCCGCCGCATAGGACTCCAAACAAGTACTCGCCCCACCACCACAGCATCTTCCATTGTCAATTGAGGACGTTGTGGTGTGTTCTCCGGCGACCTTGACGCAGCAGAGAGAGGCGGCAGAGTCGACGGAGGATGGAAACGGTGGGTCGTGAATTTTTGTCCAAGGGAAGTGTGGGGAAAGGGTTTGGAATGATTTATTAATTTCAAATTTTAGATTTTCTTGTTTTTTTAGGAGTTTTTTATTCTAAATAACTGATGTGGCAGCCACGTCAGAGCCACTTCAACATTTTTTATGTTGAGTCATAAACGAAATAAGTTTTGACCGTGAGTTTTAACAGTCAAAATAAATTTTAGGCCAAATCTGTCCAATATTTTGAAAAGTTGGTCATAACTGTCTTATTGAAAAGTTGGGGCCAAAATCGTCACTATCGCCAAACTTCGGGCCAAATTAGGGTATTAAGCCTTTAGACTATAGACATAGGATAATATTTTCTGGATTTGATATATATCATGCACTTCCATTTGCATAAAATGCTTACCTTCAGACAACTTGCTAACCTTCAAATAAGGCCTCCAGAATAGCGAACCCCGTTATGCTTTAGACTTGGTGTAGTTTTTACCATGTTTACATGCAACAAAAGTAGTATTTACTATCTTCTCATTATTCTCTATAGTAACTCGTCATTCTAATATAACTATTAGGGGTGTTCAAATGGTTATCATGGTTATTACCAAACCAAATAAGGCTAAATTTCATTAATCATGGAATACAATATCATAACCAAGCCGTCCAAACTAATACAACAACCAAATTAACCAAACTAAAGTTTAATCGGTTTGGTTAATTGGTTAACCAAATTAACCAATATAAAATCACATTATCATTAAGTGAGAAAGTTTTAGGTAGGGCTGGCATTTCGGTTGCCGGTTAGCGGGTAAACGTCGGTTACAACCGAAAACCGGCCGGTTACAAGCTAACCGAAAACCGACCGGTTGCCTTGGCGGTCGGTGGTCGGCTGGGAAAAGGAAGGAGTCAGTTGACCGAGTAACTGACGGTGATTAACCGCGGTTATCCGATTAACCGACCCCAACCGAGACCCACCTAACCTTCCCAAAATCTGTCCATTTATCTCCACCTCCACCCACCTAACCTTCCCCAAAACCCTAGATCTAAAACAAAACTCTCACCCCTTCGTCCACCTCGCCGCCGCCGCACCACTGTCGCCGTCCACCACGCCTCTGCCGCACCACTGTCGCCGTCCACCTCGCCGCCGCGTCGCCGTCCCTGCACCTCGCCCTCCGCCTGCTTCCCATCGCGGTAACCGCTGCGCCGCGCCATACCTCTGCATCTCCACCCTCCGACCCCGGCGACGACCCCAGCCCCGGCGACGACCCCAGCCAATCGCGGTCTCCTTCGCCCCCTTCCCGGCCCGGGGAGAAGTGGTCTGGTGGCCACGACCTTGAGTGTAGTCGACGTCGTTGAGAAGAAGGTGTGAGAAGAAGTGGTTTGGCGAAGAGGAAGAAGGTGTGAGAAGAAGTGTTTTGGTGAGAGGAAGAAGGTGAGAGGAGGAGATAAGGTTTGGTGGGTGTGAAATGGTGGAGGAAGGAAGGAGAGAGAGGAGAAGTTCTCTGGTGGTGGAAGGAAGGAGAGAGGAGAAGATAAGGTTTGAGTGGTGCAGGATTTTTGGTTTTTATCATTTTTTTTTCTTTTTTTTTTAGAAAAGGTAGTTTCCGGTTGGCCGGCTAACCGAGCCTAAAACCGAAACTGACCGGTCGGTTGGCCGGCTAACCGTGACACACCTCACGGTCGGTGGTCGGCAGCTGTAGGGGGTGGCTCGGTTTAAACGATAACCGGATTTTCGGTTTTCGGTTAAACCGAAACCGACCGCCTGCCACCCCTAGTTTTAGGTTAATTTATCAATTCATAATTTATATAATGAATAAAACATAACAATCAACACATAGTTATAGTTGACCCTTAACATAAATACATGCAACTAAGACAATTGTCTTACGGTTAGTATAGAAGTATTCACCTAACGAAAATTTATCACAATGGTATGGGTTAATGAATTGTTGTGTTTGTTTGAATTGACTTAGTCTTTTAGCAATTTTCATAGGCTGAAAAGGACCTTGCTTTCAAGTTTTCATCCAACATAGTGTATGAGATTTATCTAAACTAGGTGTTCATATGTTGTGATCTACACTCTACATATACAAATATACATTATAGGAACAATATCAAGCTTTATATTTTATGAGTCTAAAAGGGATGAATGTTTAACTCTTGAGTGGTTATTCAAAGTATTGTGTATGTGTATATATTATATGGCTAATTATTTATGTGGTTAATTTGGTTTGGCTGGTTAGGAGTGTCTGAAACCAAACCAAACCACCTAAACCAAACAAGCTAAGAACTTTAACCAAACCAAATCAATTATCCAAATTAACCAAACCAAATTATCCAAATAGCACTGGTTAAAACGGTTACCATGGTAACCACACCGTTTGAACACCCCTAATAACTATAGTATCTATCTTCAATATGTCAAACTTCCTCAACACTGCAGAGTACTTGATAAGAGAGTTGAAACCCCTGACATTCCAGCAGAAAACCCTAATTTTATCCCAACAGTAGAAGAATAAAAAAGTTTAGTACATTTACAACATCAAGCTTGTCATAAAACCTAACTTTGTCTTCACAAAACTCTCTCTAACTTTCCTTTTCTCTGCCTTCTCTCTAAGTTAGGCTTCAGATTCAAGCTCCATGGGGCTGCCGGCGGCTTCCCTTTGGGACCGACGGTGGCCCCCCAACCCCTTTTTTCTTTCCAGCTTTTTATTTTGTTTTGGTTCCAGTTTTATTCTCAGTGCATGTTTCGATTGTTCCTTGTCCAGATCTCCGTTTCACCTTCATGCCCATCTTTGGGATTTTCATTCTGCCACTCCTTGTGAGATGGATGTCTCCTGTTCCAGCCTCTACTTCTGATCCTCAGATTTAGATGTTTTGGTTCTTTCTCTCGGTGGTCAAAGGGGGCTATAGATCTCTGATCGGTAGCTTGTCTTCGCATCTTCTTACCTTTCATCTACCTCCTTGCTTCACCCATTGAGCCGGTGTTTCGGAGATGCAAAGGCCTTCTCATATGCAGCGGCCTGGATGCGGTTCTAAGATGTTGAAGGCAGGGATGCATCGGCCTGAATCTCGTCTCTTTTCTCCAAGCCTGTTCGTTGCCGTTTTCTTGGTCTCCGGGCTCCTCGCGGACTGCTGTTCTCCCGTTGTGGTGTTGGTCCGATCGTTGCACGGCGAGCTGGTGGTCGACGTTGGTTTTTCGGCGGCTCTGTTCGTATGGTTGGCGGCGGCAGGATGGAGAAGAGATGATGGCTAGGGTTAATGTTGGTAGTTGTCTGTAGGGTTTATTGGGCTCACTTTGCAGGCTCTGGGGTTTGGGCTTCATTTGTTGTTTCTTTTTGAAACATTTGCTAGGGCTTTGTTTGTGGGCTTTGTTTTCCCTTTTGATTTCTGCTGTATCTTTCCATGAGTTTTACCCTAAACTTTGTACTCACTTTTGAAGTGCAATATAAGCAGCTTCTTGTAAAAAAAAAAAAATCAAGCTTGTCATGTCAGGTCACTTGCCCCCAAAACAAGACCAATTCACGTGGGAAATGGTCCCTTCCTGGAGTTTCTGTTTCAAGATGCTCTTTTGACCAACAGAAAACCCGCAAACAAACAGAAACCCCACAACCACCTTACAGGCTTATACACATTTGCTGAGCAGTAGACCTGGCTGGCTGATCAACAGCCAAAAGCCAACAACCCGTTTCAGCAAAACTCTAGTATGAGACGTAATGGACAAAGAAGAAGCCTTAACCGATTCATCAATCTCGAGCTGAAAACGTTGCAATGAACACCCTTTGACGTGCGCATGGTAGGCAAGTAAGATAGTTAGCAGAGGAAACGAAGAACAAAACCATCCACAGGTGTAAACGCAAGACATGCATAAGCATTTGCGGAAAAAATAGTAGTACTCTACGCCATAAACATAATATAGAGAGTATACAACCTCCCCCGTATCACCTTGATCTCGAAGCCTCGTCCCCTTTGCAAACTCGGGGGAAGCAAATGGTAGTCAGGAGGACAATGAATCTACCAAACTTCATCAGTTGATATCTATGGGCTTTAGCGGGGTGAAAGTGTACAATCTGAAAGGAAAGGGTGGAACATGAAACCATAATATCCACTTCACTAGCTGCTAGCCCCTCCTGCAGTTGAAGTAATCAACATAGCGAAACTGCACACTACTTAGCTTGGCCTGGATGATGATCCACCATAGCCTAGCTTCTCGATTTCCCACTTGCCAACGTGAGCTCGAGATCCTCCACGCCCATTTCATGGATCCGCTCGCCTTCCCAAGGCTTCACCTTTCCATTCCCAAACTCAAACTCCGACCCTCCCCTCCCTCTTTCGGCTGTTACATTCCCCCAATTAAGACCATTATCAGCTCCATTATTCCTCTCCTTAGCTGTTGCAACCGGTTTAATGAGGTGAAAAGTCGGTGAAGGAGGAGCGACATGAGAGGAACTAGGAACTCCTTGGAAACACAACCAACGGCCAGAATCCACTGGGGAGACATCAGACTCATCACACTCAGGGATAGCCACGGGTGCAAGGTAGTGGCGTCGAGTGGGACTAGAAGGTGCAGAGGCAGCAAAGATGGGATGCCTGAAGGAATTCATGAGAGAACCGTTTGCAAGTGACTCCCAATCAGGTGGCTTTGGCTTTGAACTCCTGGTAGGGGAAGAGAGAGGCGGGGTTACTGGAGCGCTGTTGGATATTCGAAGTGGCGGCGACAAGTTTGTGGGTTTGGAAGCTATGTTCCGGAGTAGTGGAACAAGGTAGGCAGATGAGTTTCCTTCAAAACGTGAAGGGCTCGGGAATGAAGATGAGGTTGGACTGGCGTGGTAGGAAGGGATGGGACTTTGGAAATTGGATGACTGTGGGCTAGGCTGCATTGAGGAACCTGCACTGAAGTTTGGTGGAGTGCCTGATACATCACAAGGAGGCGGCTTGGTGCCCTGCGACAGTGAAAAGCCAATCACAACACAAATAAGCCAATTGGGATA